CCATGAAGCCAACAAAAATCACCTAAACTGTCGTCAAATATTAGCGTTAGCGTTGTTATGGTATACTTCGTAGACTCACGTCTCTTCTGAAATTCTCAGTCAGACAACTTTCAGGAATAATGCTGAGGAGTAAACATTGGTTCCAATCTAAACAAGATTAACAGAAGCATGACTGTCGCTATTCCCGGCCACGCCCATCTTTACCATAACTAGGGATAGGGAAGGAAATGTTGATGTAGTACTTACTTAACGAGAGGCCACCGACTTAGCGACACCCTCATAAGTGCTACGGAGTTGGAGGGTTGGGTAGGGTATTCGGTTAGGATTCACCTCAAGTTGGCGATGCAACCAAAAGGATGTATTATTTATTTGTTGTTTATTTAATCTCTCGATAGCCGGCTATCGAAAGAACATATTCATTTTGTTTAGTGATCATGGATTTTAAGAGTCATGACGGAGAGCTTGGGATGAAACCCATGATTTTCTGCTCAGTAAGCAAAAACGATCCCTCCAGGGTCATCGAGCATCTCAGAACTATAACGCTTCGCGACAATACAGGACTGCGTTTTTGCTTAATATGCAAATAGTTTCCGAGGTTAATGTTCAATATCAAATATACAAATGATGGTGGCGACTTATTGTGCTGTGGAAGAGCTTGGGGTTAAATCCATGATTTTCTGCTCAGTAAGCAAAATCGATCCCTCCAGGGTCATCGGGCATCTCATAATCCACAGCGCTTCGCGTCAAGGTACGAATATATGGATGAACTATCTATTATTGAATAACTATTATTTACCATAATTACATAAAAGAAATAAAATATAAACTACAAACAAAACGTGACTACTAAATCTCAAAAAGATATTCTCACAAATGTATTTCACGCAACCAGGAATCTCAAAACCATTAGACGCTATAATGATACTCTGCACATGTTAGACACAAGAAGAGGCCAAAAAAGCAAGCGTCCGACACACAAAACCCGCCAAATCCACTTGCAGTCACAATCAACGATTCTACGAATCGCGAGCGCTCACGAATCATAAAACCGCTGACTGCGACACTCTGAAAGCGAAATTGATAAGCTCTATGCGTCAAACACCCGCCCTTCAATCCCCTCCCGTATCCATTAACACAAATCTCCATTACAACATCTAACGAATTCAAAATTCCTCAAATCACTCATCTATAGCAAGTGAGTGGAAGCAACCCTGCATGCAACCATTCTTCATGATACACTTATTCTGCCTATCTTTCTATTAGGCCTGTGGACATGCGTTAGCTTCGAAACTTCTAACCAAACTGGGAAAATTTTCAGATCACAAAAAAAACTTGAAAAAAACTTTTAAATGTAATTACAAGTAAAATAAATATTGATTATTTTACGCAAAAACGAGCAAGTAATATTAAACCTCTTGTATCGTATGCTAATGCTAATTGACTGTAACAAAAATAATATGCTTAAAAAATAAAATATTATTAAAATTATGTGCAAAATTTACTAGAAGATCTAATAAGCCCTCCCAGTTCCTCTGTATACAGAACAAATCTGATATTATAATCAGAATTGCTCAGTCTGCATGAAGCAGCCGATTTCATCAAGGAAGTTCTATTAACAACCAAGAATTAATCGTTTGAGGCATACTGAAGCATTAAGAAGGTGATATGTGTCACTATAGGAAATCATCATCGTTGCAAATATAAAGAAATTAAACATAACCCTTTGCTTCAGTACCGTCAACCTCCATGTCCATGGGGAGGGAACCTAAACTGTCGTCAAATATTGAGCAAATAGAACCTTCCGGACCAAACGTCAAATGGATGAAACCAAAACCGAAACCGAAGCCAAACCGGAAGCTTAATGCTTATCACAAGGATAATCGCTTGAAGTTTGCACAAAAGTACATGCAGTGGACCGTCGAGTGGCGTCAAGTTTTTTTTTTCTGACGAGAAAAAATTCAATCTTGACGGTCCTGATTGCTACATGGCGAATGAGAACGACCCAAATTTAAAATAAAATTAATAATCGCCAAAAGTGCAGGAACTCAGCGAGGAGTAAAATTTGTCTCATGTTTTCCCAGGTTTTTCCAGGATTTTCTAGGGAAAAATTCCCGAATTTGAGAAAAGTAAAGATTGGATTCACTCAGTCCATAGGTACTACTCCGAGACTGAATAAAATTTTCGTCAATTTCTTCATTTTCCGGCAGATTTTTTAGGTTTTCCACAGGAAACCATGAGACAAATTTACTCAGCGCTGAGTTCCTGCACTTTTGGCGATTATGAGTGAACTAAACTCAAATTTGGATCGTTCTCATTCGCCGTGTACAGTCAGTATTAAGTTTTGCACCGTCGGGGTTAACCTCAATCTGATGACAGTTCAGTGGTACTGTTTACGTGGACTTAGTTGATTTTTTCTTGGGTAGATTTTCTCGATAATTTTTTAGACTGCAATGAGATGTAAACCACATGTCCACGAGCAACATCCTTTCACCGCGCTGTTTCTCGACAATTTGCAAGGTAAAGTTCGTAAATTTTAGAAATTTTTTTTTTATTGAAAAAAACGACTAAGTGCTTGTAAACAGTACCACTGAACTGTCAAAAAGGTTCAGCCGATTAACACTGAGTTCATTTATGACGTCACGATGCAGTACCTAAAAGACGAGTGCACGGATGGATTTGAGTTCACTCACTCGACAAAAAGTGACACAACAGCGGGCCCTGTTTACCAAAAATGAACACATGAATAATGCTCGCGTAACATTTGAAACGGGCCTATCAACTTTTGTACACAAAACTTGTTAAGCCTTTTTCGCGCGAACAGAATACTCCCACGCAAACTAACAGCACCATCGGGTTGGGGAAATTCTTCCCTTCCCGATAGTCCTCTTGGTTTACGTACTTCGGTTCTCGTGAAAAGGACCTAGCAAATTATTTACAAAAGTTGATAGGTCCTTTTCAAATGTTACGCGAGCATTATTCATGTGTTCATTTTTAGTAAACAGGGCCCCGCTGTTGTGTCAATTTTTTTTTAGTAGATTAACAAAAGTTCACCCGTGCACTCGTCTATTGGCACGATTTGAGGGACGAAAAATTCACCCGTCCAGGTGAAATTTTGGTGGTGGCACGGTTATGGATTGGGGAGCGTTTTGGTCTGACAACAAGCTTCCTATCTGCTGGATCGCCACCAGAATTAATTCTGGCAACTACTGCGAGCTCCTGGAAGACGTTTTGGTTCCCTTCCTAGAAGATCATATGGATGAACCGGTTATTTTTCAGCAGCACAACGCTTCCATCCACGTTTCCCGCCAAACAAAAACATGGTTTAAGGAGAATGACATCACCGTACTGGAATGCAATTCAATTGAGAACCTTTGGGGCATATTGGCCTCCAGAGTTTATGCAAATGGACGCCAATTCGATACCGTGAAGGATTTCAAAACATGTATTCGGGAGTGCTGGGAGCAAATCTCTCTCAATACACTTCAAAACCTCGTCAACTCGATGCCAAAGAGAGTTTAAGTTTTCGAACTTATTCTGCTCTAAGGGATAGTCCATTTATTATGTCACGCCAAATTTGCCCATTTTCAAACCCCCCTCCCCCCTTTGTCACATTTTTTGTATGGATCTTAATTTTTGTTGTACGGCTCGTCACAGTTTCCAAAACCCCCCCCCTCCCCCCTAAAAGTGTGACATAATTAATGGACGAACCCTAACTTGGGGTGCGGCTAAACGATTGCACCTGTTTATTTATTTATGTTTTGCTGCTAAATTATACCAACGTGAACTAGTTTTGAAGAAATGGCATTGTCAATCTTAGTTGACAGATATGAAAAAAAGTAAATATGTACAACTTATTCCATTTCAATTTGTTCTTACTGAGAAAACAACGAAAAAGATGGTGCTGCTAAACGAACGCACCGCACTGCACACCGTTGGTGCAAACATAATATACGTTAAGCATAATGAATGATAGGGGAAATGGCCCTAATGTTGGCCGTCAAAAGGGGTTTAGATCGAGAAAAGAAAGGACAACTATCCGCAAAGGTGACCACAGGTCGTCCGAGGTCAGCTCGGGTTCCGAGGGTTATCGCTGCTATCAAAAGGAATATTCGGGTGAATCCAGTGCGTTCAATAAGGAAAATGGCAAAGGAACACGGGATCAGTGACTTTACGGCACGGAAGATCGTAAAGAAAGATTGCGGGGTGAAGTCGAGGGCACGGAAAAAACTCACATGATGACCAACCGCATCCGGGAGCTACGAGTCGAACGATGCAAGAAAATCTTGAACTTCCTTAAGCGAAAAAATCCGGTAATCCTGTTCACCGACGAGAGCATGTTTACCGTCGATCCCGTATCAAATTCCAGAACCGACCGGTATATTAGTTCTCTTCCGGTAAAAGACGTGGCCGACGAGCACAAGAACGTGTATCTGACCATGCATCCTGCTAGCTTCCGATTGGTGGCTTCCGATGGCAAACAATGGACCCGGTGTTCATTCTAGAAGGCGACAAGGTTAACACGGAGGTCTGCATCGGGATTTTAAGTAAGTACCGTGGAAGCACCATATTTGACGCGGGTCCAAACTTGACGCACTTTCCAATCAATTCGATCATAACTCCTGTTTCGGTTTGAATTGCACCGAAATTGTCATTTTCTGTCCTTTGTTTACACTCATGCCACCCATTCATAACAAAAAACATACTTTGTTTATTGCTAATAAGAGCAATCAAAATCAAAACGAAAAAGCCATCTGTCAAATGCGTCATTTTTTTCTCATCGTAGCAACAACGCTAAGGAGCAAGTTTAATGTTTATTGTTAGTTTTCACGCAGAAAATCAGTTTTTGTGTAATAATACGTTACTAACTCTTAAACTGTAAGTATTTTTAACGTTTAACAGCTGATTCAGCAATATATAGTATGTTTAGAGCACATTATTTAACGAAAATGTTTTGCGTCAATTTAGGCTCACAGTGGCCCTTATTATTTTATATGTGAAACATGGAGCCCAAAACAAAGTACATGACCTACAGCAAGACTGCACTCGGTAAAGCCGTGGACATGGCACGAAGAGGTACATCAGTTCGGAAATCTGCTGCCTCGTTTGGTATTCCGGAGGCCACCGTTCGTAGGAAGATGAATCTAAATAAAAATGTGGATCAAAAAACAGTACGGTCTGAAGCCAAATGTTGTATTTCAACAAGATGGGGCTCCATGCCACACCTCGAACCGAACTCAGAATTGGTTGCAGGAACATCGGGCGAAGGATATGTGGCCGCCATCCAGCCCCGATCTTAATCCGCTGGATTACTCAATCTGGTGCGTCATGAAGGCCAAGGCCTGTTCTAAACGCCACCCGAGTACATCAAGCCTCAGACAAACATAGACCCGTACTTGGAGAGAAATGGATAAAAACTACATTATTAGAACCATTCGTGCATTCCGGAAGCGTGTGGAGGCCGTAATTGCAGCAAGTGGAAACTCGATCGATGATTAACATAGTTTAAGACTCTGAGAAACATCCCCCCTTTGAATAAATAAAAACTTGAAAACGAAATTCTAGAGATTTTTTTTTAATTTTGGCATTGCTCAAAACATTATTACGCATACGGTAAATGAAAGTAAACTTGCATACTGAAGTAATTTCGGAGTTCCCCAGTTGGTATGCTCGGATCAGTTATTCAAACACAATTTGACTATATTTCAGTCTGTTGCTCGCAGACCGTTCGGATCGAGCAATGGGAATGATTCTACAAAGTACGGTTTCATTTCCATTGCTCGATCCGAATGGAATGGGAGCAACTTTTTCAAAATTCAGTTTCCTCCTACTATGAAATCTACGTTTCTCGGCAACACTGGAGCCTTCGGATCTAGGCGTGAGCACAGAACAACAAACAAACCTAACATCGACCAACAATCAGCTGACGAAATAAAATCGACTTCACACTTATTCTACTATTGAATCACAAGTGGACAGACGAATTCACTTCACTAAATTACTAATCTAATTTCCAAAATGAAACTTTCACCATCTCGTTTCGATCTTCATTCTTCAATGTCAACAATAACAGATTGCGATGGCTGATCCCACTGCGCGAACAGCTGCATGCGAATGTATGCGTGTCTTCATTTGGATCATCTTCTGCCGTCGAAAACTGTTAGTTAACGGGTGCGTTCACAGTCTTCGCCCATTCACAACTGGATGCTGCTTTCGCTGACAAAACCCTTTCGCTGCTGGGCTCTCGTTTTTTATCGGCGGCAATACAGTCTAATATATTCTTCGATTTCTTAGGGTACTCTTTTCGATGCTGTTCTTGTTGAAATAGAAAATTAGCTTCACCTCTAGTTGTTTCGCCTTGAAATAGCCTGTATTATTACTCCGCTCGTTTGGGATATTTTTTCCATCCTAATAAATGGTTATCGGAATATTTCGTCTTGATTGTTCGGATTATAAGTAATCGAGGTTAGTTAAGTAAAGAAAGTTAAAATGAATTTAAAATCATAAAAAATACGAATATTTATCTATATTCTCCCTGGTTCTAACGATTTATTAATAATTGTTGAGTCAAAATCAACTTTTTCATTATTCAAAAGAGGCAAGGTTGATGGAAATGAAAGCTAAGTTGTCCATATACAACATTAAAAGGACTATTATTGCAAGGTTATGATCCTTTTATAAGCCTTGGTTTAAAAAAAAAGGTTCGAAATGCCGAAGCATTTACCGAAGCAGGAAAAATTTAAAATCTGTCACCAATGTATTGCTTTTACATCCTGGTTAATTATTAATTCTTGTTTGCTTCCTTATGTTATTGAGCATGATTCCCGTAATCTTTATCAGTAATTTGAATGAGATAACTTAAAACTTGTTACTAAGAAAATTCTTGGGAAAATTAAAGAAAAAAAGTTTTTAGGGGTTTCTAGGGAAATTAAAAAGATCCGGGAGTGGAAAATCAGAGGATTATAAGACTTAAAACTAACTTAATTTTAATATGACTAGAAAAAAACTGGAAAATTAAAGACAATTTCTAGAGTTTTAAAAGGTTCTGGCACCGTGGATAAAATATTTATAAATATGTTGTATTTTTAAACAAATTCATAAAATACCTATGACATACGCCGAAGTATGACTGAAAATTCAGTTTCAGTTAAACGACGCTTGACCTAGTAATCCATACAGTATAATAGCGTTCGGTATAATGGTGTTCAGCTAATCGGCGTCTAACCTAATTCTCTATAAAAATAAATTTGCGCTTGCATAAAACTGTTTGTTGTTATGAGCAATCATTCACATATTTTTCGAAAAATACGGCCATTTTGGACTTTATATTTTTTACAAAATGGCGTCTTTGACATTTTTTAATAAATTGTAGCACGAAAACGTCACTTTTGATCGAAATGACGTCTAAGATAAAGTTGTTGAGAATAGTAAAATCTTTCTGGGAAAAATATACACAGTAGGGGAATTTACGTATTCTCGTCAATCTAAGCAGCGTCCGAACTTCTATTAGCGATTTCTCAGCGTCACAAACATACATGACAGGTTTGTTTGTTGACATTTATCTGCTGCTTGCTGTTCTACCAATTCCAATCGACATAATTGATCAAAACGGGTTGAACATGTTTTTACAACGCTCCAAACTTCTCAGGTGAGTGTGACTATTGCCGGCAGTCTCTTTTTCTTCGGCACCCTTTCCATTTGAACTGCGTGTTAACCAGCTGTTCTATTATCGGCAACTCGAAAACAGCCGTATTTTGTAGTGTGTATATTTCATTTAAAGAAAAATATGGCAGAACAGGATTGCACAGTCGTAAAAATGTAATCAGATTGAAGCTGAAAAGGTAAGGAATCGGCTTAATACATTCAGCGAAGAGTTTTGATGGGAAAATACAGTGAAATTAACGTTTCAATTTCGGTTGCCGAAAACAGTCAATGGGTGCCGAAGCCATAATTTACCCTATTTTTATTTTTATTTGGAGCAAAAATTCCAAAAAAGAAATTAAACTCTAATATCAAAAGCTCATGAAAAATGCAAACTTTTGGAATACTTAAAACCATGGACAATGAAAATTGACAAAAATCGTAGAACATCAACTTTTTGGTCATATTTTAAACTTCTTGTTAGCAAGCCTTCTTATGTAATCTTTGCTCAGAAAACGATTTGGATTGTCTCAAATAGTATTTCCTGGGTAGTAATTTCATAAAAAAAAAAGTGGAAGGCCTTAGAAAGAGGTTCTCCAACCACATTACATGATTATCAGACTACTTCAATATTTCATTATCTACCTAATTACTTAATGAGCATGAGCATGAGCATTGACGACCATACATTTCAGTAGTTGCTACTCCGTGATTGGCCAGATTTAGCGAAATTTGCAAAAAGTACCATATGAATTGGGGCTTGGGAGTAGCAATCCATTCTCAGTGTACAAAATCCGGAGAATCCATATTTTTAGGTCAATAACGGCGCCGACCACGGTCTTACGGGCATCGGGGAGGGAAAGGATTGTTATTTCAACAACCGTTACTACTAGAAACCGAGTATACCTCTGCATCTCCACGGTTGTCACGGGAAGGACGTTTTTGTTAGTGGGAAGGGTAAATTTGATCTGGATTCACATTGGAAAGTGATACGATCTTTTAAAACCTGTTAGGCAAATGACGCGACCCTATCAACTCAGTAATGTAAAGAGGCTTCTTCTTCTGCTCAGTAAGCAAAAACGGTCGCTCTAAGGCCACCGTGCCCCTTACATCACAACAAGGTACGACCGAAGATCGTTCATTATCGGTTACAAGAAGCTATTACAATAAAATGAAATCATCCAAAGTAGTTAAAAAGTCTTCCGAACCTATTCAGGCGTACGTCACATTTGTCTAAATATACTTATTACTTTTCTGAATCGTTCCTCCCTTTTCTGTTATTAACAATTTTCTCCAATAGAGGCCTGAATATATTAACTTAGTAATGTAATGAGGCTTGGGTTCTAACCCATGATCTTCTTGCCACCCATGAACAGTTGCTCTATAGCCACCGTGCCCCTTAATCTACGACCAACTCAACAAAAAGTTATTCAAATGAAGCGACGTCTCTGAAAGCAGCCAACAATGTCTTCCAAACTGGATCACGCATACACACTTTCCAAAATTCATGGTTTAAACTATTCAACTTTTGGTTACTAACTGCTCATTATGCTCTCGGAACTCGACGATGGTGGTTTATTCTGTTGCGGGCGAGCTTGGGATTAAACCCATGATATTCTGCTCATTAAGCAAAACCGATCCCTCTAAAGTTATCGAGCATCTCAAAACCAATAGAGATACACGATAATTCATATAGTTTCAGCGGCTGAAGGTTAATTTTTAATATACTAACAGTACTGCCTACGGCGACTACGACGGCGCCTACGGCGGCGCCTACGACGACGACAACAGCGAATTTGTAACTTACCATTTGTCTAGGAGATACCACCTTTGCCCGGCACCTCCACGATTTTTTCAATAGAGGCCTGGATAGATCAACTCAGTAATGTAACGAGGCTTGGGCACGAATACACCCTTTCCGAAATTTCAAACTCAACATACGCATCTTAACGCAACAACCGAACTTCATACATCGCGTGAAAATCAAGATCAGTGACCAGGTTTGAGCTGGACGACCCATCTTTAAGACAACTAAACATGACAATCCAACCAGGTCCGCAAACAAAATCTAACTGGTTACAGTTATAGATACAAACTCCCTCTAGAGTCCACAGCCGCTTCACAGCGATACAAATCAGAAAAAGCTCAGGCGAATTAGAGAAAACCAAATGATATTACGTTACGCTTGCTGCATTACTCAATTTGCAAAGCAAAATCGTCGAAAAAGAAGTGCAGGTTCGCTGGGTTCCACCGATCTGTTTGGAAAGGAAACCATTTTCTGTGTCGCCAAGGGAGGTTGAGCGTGATGAGGTTTCGCCCGGCGCATCTATTTTGGCTGCCCAGGGCGTTGCTGTGAAGAGCAAGCTGCTATTAATCATCACTCTGCATGCACTGCGTTCCACCGGTAGCAACCATAAAAAGACTAACTGCTCAGTACATTGGCCCGTTCTTCCATGCAGATTACCATACCATTACAGATGACGTTACAATCGGAATCGACCTGCCTGAATAGAGGTCTGGTTGTGGTCAACCTTGGTACTTCTTGCGTCCTTACAAGATACTGTTTTGGTCTCGCATTCTCCTCTTGAAACGCAAAGAAAATCAATGACAGCTGCCTATGAATGATTCCCTATGTGAAAAATAGTAATTTGTAATTAATGAATTCAAGCAAATAAACTTT